AGACTCCAACTCAAAAAAAAAAAAATGTCTTTTTTTGAGCACCTGCTTTATGCCATAAGGAAGTGACCAGGTAGACTACATGAAATGATTGTGGATGGCTCTTCCATCCAGTGGCACCAGTGGCACAGCATGTCCAGTTCTCATGGCAACCCTGCAAAGTAAGTGGCTGTTTTACAGACAAGGAACAACTTAAAAAGGTGATTTTGGCCACAATCTCCTAGCTTAAAAAGGAGTTTCCAAACCAGGCGTGGTTGCATATGCCTGTGGTCCCAGCTACTCAGGAGGCTGAGGCAGGGGAAACGCTTGCACCCTGAAGTTCAAGTCCAGCCTGGGCAACATAGCAAGACCCCATATATCTGAAGGATAAAAAGTTTCTAGTTCTTCTGAAATCAATGTATTTTCATATTTTATATATATATATTCCCATATATACACTTTTTTTTTTTTTTAGTCTCTGTCACCCAGGCTGGATTGCCGTGGCATGCTCATGGCCATCCCAGTGTCGACCTGCTGGGCTCAGGTGATCCTTCTACCTCAGCCTTCCAAGTAGCTGGAACTACAGGCATGCACTACCACGCCCGGCTGATTTTTCTATTTGATGTAGAGATGAGGTCTCGCCAAGTTGCCCAGGCAGGTCTCGAACCCGTGGGCTCAGGCAATCCACTCACCTCAGCCTCCCAAAGGCGCGGCATTACAGGCTGAGCCACCGAGCCCAGCAGGCCCTTATATCTTATAAGTTTTCTTCTATTGACCCAGGGAAATATATGCTATCTCCATTTTATGGATGCAAAAGCAGGCCCAAAGTCACAAAACTAGTAAGTGACTGTATGGGAAACAGTTTCCTCTGCTACATTCAACATTTCTAACACTTCTGTGACCCAAAGTGTGGGGTTTTTTTTCCCTCAATCCAATCAGTTCTTCAGCTGCAGACACCAACTCAGTGTCCTTTAATTCAGTTATGACACTAGCCTACAGGCCCAGAACCCACTTCAGATGCCAGAAACAAGCAGCAGATTCCCGGGTACAAATGGGTTCCCATGAGATCCTCTCCTCAGGCTTACTGTAATGGCTCACAGAACTTGGTTCTGTGAGAGAATGCAAAAATACTTGAGTTTCCTGGCTTATCATACAGGATGTAATAGGGAACAGACACACAGCCATATCAAGGCATGCATGGTGCAGGGTCTGGGAAGGTCCCAGGTGCAAGAGTTACTGTCCCTTTGAACCCCTGCTTTAGGGATTTTTATGGAGGCTCCATCACATAAGCATGATCAATTATTAACTCAATCTCCAGCTCCTCTCCCCCAGAGGATGGGTGTGGGGCTGAAAGCTCCAAGATCCTGATCATGGCTTGGTCTTTCTAATGACCAGTCCCCATCCAGAACCCACCAAGCATTGCCTCATTAGAAAAAAAGATGCTCCTATCACCCAAGAAACGGCAAGGATTTTAGGAGCTCTGGTGCCAGAAAGGAAGACAAATGCATATTTCTCATATCACAATGGCAGACCCAGGATTTTAAACTTTCTAATTCTTTTTTTTTTTTTTTTTTTTTTGAGTTGGAGTCTCACTCTGTCGCCCAGGCTGGAGTGCGGTGGCACACTCACGGCCACCCCAGCTTCAACCTGCTGGGCTCCAGCGATCCTTCTGCCTCAGTTTTCCAAGTAGCCGGAACTACAGCTGCCTACTACCACACCCGGCTAATTTTTTTTTTTTTTGAGTTGGAGTCTTACTCTGTCGCCCAGACTGGAGTGCAGTGGCCGCTCCCGGCCACCACAGCCTCGACCTGCTGGGCTCCGGCGATCCTTCCGCCTCAGCCTTCCAAGTAGCTGGAACTACAGGCATGCACTACCACGCCCGGCTGATTTTTTGATTCATTGTAGAGATGAGGTCCCGCCAAGTTACCCGGGCGGGTCTCGAACCCGCAGGCTCCCAAAGGCGCGGGATTAGAGGCTGAGCCACCGAGCCCGGCTTAATTTTTTTTTTTTTTTTAATTATTGTAGAGTTGAGGTCTTGCCAAGTTGCCCAGGTTGGTCTTAGACCTGCAGGCTCAGTCAGTCCACTCACCTCAGCCTCCCAATGTGCTGGGATTACAGGCTGAGCTACTGAGCTTGGCCAATTTGATTTATTGTAGAGATGAGGTCTTGCCAAGTTGTCCAGGCTGGTCTCAAACCCATGGACTCAGGCAGTCCTTTCACTTCGGCTCCTAAAGTGCTGGGATTATAGGCGTGAACCACCGTGCCCTGCCAGCTTTCTAATTCTTACGTGCCTCCCTTAGTAGAAAAGGAGAATTATATGGTGAAACTCTTTAAAGAAGAGACTAAAGGTGGTCACCCTTCCTGCCTCATTCATGCACCTTACCATGAGGCCCATCTTGGAAGCTTACCTATCTCGTAAGATGGGCATCAGTACCTGTAGTTGTGTGGAGGCAGGAGTAGGAGGCTGGGCCTGTACTCGAATTCTTCCTGCCACGGGCTGCCTCTCCAAGTGCTGTCACCCAATCTGGTATACTGATAAGAATTTACTTGCAAGCTGTGCTCGGTGGCTCAGCCTGTAATCCCGCGCTTTGGGAGGCTGAGGTGAGTGGATTGCCTGAGCCCGCGGGTTCGAGACCCGCCTGGGCAACTTGGCAAGACCTCATCTCTTCAATAAATCAAAAAATTAGCCGGGTGTGGTAGCGCGCACCTGTAGTTCCAGCTACTTGGAAGGCTGAGGTGGAAGGATCGCCGGAGCCCAGCAGATTGAGGCTCCAGGAGCGGCCACTGCACTCCAGTCTGGGTGACAGAGTGAGACTCCAACTCAACAACAACAACAAAAAAACTTACTTGCAGAAGAGGTGCCTCTGCTCTAGCTCTCCCTGCCAAGTGTCTGCAAAGTTAAAAATCAAACCAGCCTTCCTCAGGAGTAAGGGAAGGACAGGAACCAGCAGGGACTCTGAGAACCCAGGCAGAGTGTGCCCTAGCTGGCAAGGCACCGGGTGGCCTGTGTGGTCCAGGTGAAGTCATTTCCATGCAATGGGCCACCTTTTGTTGAGACAGGGTCTCACCCTGTCACCCAGGCTAAAGTACAGTGACACGATCATGGCTCATTGTAGCCTCAAACTCCTGGGCTCAAGCAATCCTCCTGCCTCAGCCTCCCAAATAACTGAGATTATAGGCACCACCATGCCTGGATTTTTTTTTTTTTTTTTGGAGAGACAGGGTCTCGCTGTGTTGCCCAGGTTGGTCTTGAACTGACCTCAAACGATCCTTCAACCTTGGTCACTTGGTCTCCCAAAGTGCTGGGGTTACAGGTGTGAGCCACTGTACTCAGCCCTATTTTGTATTAAAGAGCATCTGTCTCCAGGAATACTAAGCCCCCTAATGGGGAGGCAGCAAGTGGGTGTGGTTAAATGTTAATGAACCGTGGACTGAAGGTAACACACTGATGGAAGACAATTTCATGAGAGTCAGATTCTTTATCTTAGACCTGATCCTCAAGTGTGGGCATGCATCACAGTTACCTAGAGGGCTTGTGAAAACAGATTGCTGGGCCCTCAGCCCAGCGTTCCTGATTCAGTAGATCTGAGATGGGGCCTGAGGATTCCCATGCCTGACAAATTCCCAGGTGATGCTGAGGCTGCTGGTCTGGAGACCACACTTTGAGGATCTTGCTAAAGTATGCTCCCCAGATCAGCAATATGGGCATTGCCTCAGAG